CACGACTGATTTTTGCCTTATTCTTTGTACTTTCAAGTAGACAAAAAACAACCAACAAAGGAACAAAACCCAAACTTTGCACCTTCTCCTACAGTGCAACACCCCCTCTGCAGCTGCAGGGACCTATTTCAAAGTCACTGCATTTTCTTAGGGCACTGCCTTTATCTGCCTCTCAGTGTTCCCACCCAAGCAGGCTGCTCCTGCAGTAATTCAGAGAAATTCATCTCATGTGCAAAAAATAGAAGATATAAACAGTCTTATGCAGCATGTACACTATGTAGTATGTGTGTGTATATATATGTACATACACACTTCCTTCATATACATACATCTACACACACATACAACAGTTGTTAGTTTGTGGTAGAGGAGCAAAAAATCAAATGTCTGCAGAGCTGATTATTCTTTTCTGAATGCCTTGCATACAAATCACGCAGACTTACACCCTTCACACAGCAATTCAGAGTGTGTTTCTAAGTAACTTGCAGTAACTTCCCAAATATCTTCTGATGCAGTGAAGCCTAGAGAAAATCCTTCACACAAATCAAACATCTGGCCATACTCAGGGACAATTCTCAGTGGTATGGAAAAATTCCCATAGTAATCATGCTTATTATATAGCAGAACTTTGATCTCCACTATATATTCGCAAATTGTGGAAGAGCAGCTTAAGAGAACAGTCATGTAAAAGCTTTTTCACCTGATTCAATCTTGCTTGCAAGGTCATTCTTCCCCCAGAACAAGGTATTCGACTCAATGCAGCCTCAATCTAATAACAGAAAACACTTCAGCTGTGAATTACAGTTTCAAGAGCCAACATGAGCCTCCCTAACTCATCTTGCAAAGAGAGGTGAGGGGTAGAGATGACAGATACACAGTCTTTTTTCTGAAACACTGACTTGTGTTACCCATAATGCTGTGCCATATGAAACTGATCCAAAAGTTAACATTCCTAAGCAGACCCCTCAAGGATCTGCCTGAAGACAGGACTCTTCCCTGCCAGAAGAACCTTCTGCCTTTGAAAGGCTGATTTACAGCACTGTCCATTAAGAGAGAAAGTCAATTCACTCCCCTTTCTGTAAAGATGACTCTCCTTTAATGAAGTTAGGGACAGTTAAGGACTGGAGCACGGGAAGTGGAGCAGGGAATGCAAATGGCCCATTCCCAGGCTAACAGCAGGAACTGCAGGTGCATTCCAGCCATGCTCTGCCCGTGACCACGTCCCTCGCCTCTCGGACAACAATCATGTTTCATCACAACTTTAAAATAAGAAGAATCTTTGCCTGTTGCTTTTCTTGAGTCAGCTCATCAAAAAGCCTTTCTGTTTCAGCCAGAGTCTTAATCCTTGCTGCATACTTGAAGTCTCCCTCACAAGGTAACAGCACTGGCTCATATTTTTGTGCCGTGCTCCTCTCGTCCAACGCTGACACTTTCTTCATCCCAGTATTGAGGGATTCAGCACAGGAGCTGGGGCTGACCCCGGAGTGCTGCCTTCCTGTCAACAAAACAGGGGCCTTTGTTTTGGAGTTGTCTGAATTTATTACATAGGACAGAAAAAGAAACTACCAACAAGAAAAACAGTGTGATCTTGGAGGTCTATCAACAGGAGAGCCACTAGCACAGCCTCGTTAGCTGGTCTTAAGCAAACTTCTCAGAAGAATGTGAAACATTTGTGTGGGTCATCTTTCAAGAGATCTAACACAACATATTTCTTGGTTAACAGATTACCCTGCCATGCTAATTAGAAGTTACTTTTACTGGTACAATATTTCTAAATATCACCAAATAGATGAGTTGTCATGCAAACACTAGTCTAAGTAAACACATTTATAAAAACAAAAGCAGAACATTGTGACCAGAATTAGAAAAGTGAGAAAATATTTAGTTCAATCAATCATTGAAAAAAAAATCTGAAACAACTGGTATTATCATAGTTGCTCTTTATAGTTCTAGTTTATAGTTGCTCTTCACTGTCTGCAATGCAATGTTTAGCAGTAGGAATGTAATGGTATGATTGAGTAGGTCCAACTTAATATAGACCCTCCTGAGATGTGATTTGAGTAACCAAGTTAAGCACAGGAAAACATATTGCCCTTCTTCCTCAATGTAATTATTGTTGCTGTTCCATTGTATTTGTGCACACACATATACATAAAAATAAAATACTCTATAAATGGCATTTCTGTCTACAGGAATAAGGCAAGACTTACAGGTTTTTTAAAAGTTGGACTTTATAGAGTGAAGTGTCAGGTTTCTATTCAAGCAGCTGTTACCAATGTGGAAGAAATTAAGGTTAAAAAAAGAGAGAATAGTTTGAAAAATTACCTTCTGCATCATCTAGTGAGAGAAACTGGAGCCTTTTCCTTGGATTATTGTGCTGTAAAGAAGATGTAGGACCAGCCTCCAGGTCATCTAGAAGTATATCAAATCTACAGAGCAGGAAGCACACAATTACTTCCTAGAAGTCATGTCTCAAGCAATACAGTATTCTCTACTTTTTCACCTTTTGGTTAAACACTTTTTAAAATAAAATGGCTTCTATCGCACAGGCATTGCAAGACTCCTGATTATACTCATAGTACCATACCCCAATACCCTCTATTTGCACACACCAAAACACCTCATCCCTGTGACTTTAAGCAGGGCAGGCTGCCATGCCCAAACACATTGAGCTCCCCTGTTGACATCCTCAAGAACCAAAGTGGTGCCAAACATTTCTTCCTCCTCATGAACGTGTCCTACACTTTGATCTCACAGCTAAGTATGTTCTCCAACTCTACAAGCCTTGGCAGGCAAAAGCTCTCTACAGAAACCACAGCATCTGGTACAGTTAGCAGGGAGTTAAGTATGTGTACTTTTCACATGCTTGTAGGTGCTGGGACAGGTAGGTAGATACTCCTTTCAACTTTTATTTACATCTCCTGGTAAGCAGCATGTACATCTGGACTTACTCCACAGAACCATTCTCCTAGAACTTCTTTGTCACTGATCAATGTTGTGTCACTAACAAACCAAACACCTCACCTTGGTCACTGCTAAATACAGGAAATCATTTGAGATTTTTGTTACCAGATTTTAAAAAGTAAACTTAGCTTTATATTCAGAAATCTTCCCATGACTTGTTTTCTAGGACTTGTCATGAACAAGAAACAACAGCACTAGGCCTGCATAAACACACTGCTGCTGCCATCATCATCAGAGCACAGTTGTATTCACCAGACTCATACCTTGTCACTGTGTTTTCATTTTTGCTAAGCAAATGGCTAAATCCAGGAGAGAGGTTTTCTTTTGGAGATCGTTTTGGGCTGTATGTCACAGACACTGGTGGTGCCAACATGATCTCTCTTGCTGCTGCAAAAGATAAAAGTATCTTTAACTACCTAAAACTTCACCCAAAGCACCATCTCCACTCACGTAACCAGATGCTTATATCTTACAAGCATGCTCTCCAAAGCTGTTTATTAGATGAAAATTGCATTTCAACACAGAAAAATTAAAATAAACTTTGAACCCTCCTGTTTTCCATGATCACAGACAGGCTATTTCCCAGACTCTTAGAACACTGCAGAAATCCTGTCTTTGTCTTTCTTCTAGAGCAGTCACTATAATTTTCTTCTACTTTTTGAGTAGTAGAAACCAAACTTCAGAAAAGCACTTACTTGGAATATGTGGTTTCCTGTTGGAAGGGGGAAGGGAGGATGACCTCTGGCCAGAGGGGGAGCTGTAGCGTTTGGGTCTGTGTTGGTCTCTACCTTTCTCTGGGGACCGGTTGGCAACGAAAGAAGTTTCAGCAAACCCAACGGTTTGACGTCGATTTGATGTTTCTGATTCAAAGGAAGAAGTTGTTCTATTAATCTGTTTCAATACAAGAACTCACAAATAATCCCCTCCACTTTTACTGTGCAAAGGCTGCAGTTAGTCCTGCCTCATGTCAAGATGTTTGTGCTGTATTGCTCAGGTCTCACTTCCTGCTCATTGTACTCCTGGAACGGTTTAACTGGTGCCAAAGGAAGCTCTGCAGCCCGTGTGGGAGAAGATAAATGACACTGGTTTAATGAAGAGACAGTGGAAGGCAGGACAAAAGCATCTTTGGGGAAAGAGAGCTGGAGTACCTGCCTGACCCAAGAATATAAGCATTTAAGAAAGACTCAGTGTTTGCTAATTACAAGGCTTCCTAAATCAATGTCGTTAGAGCAGCTCAGTGCAGTCCCACAGTACACATGGCAGCTTTCTTAATAACACTGATACAAACACCATGAGAACAAAACTAAAATGGATGTGGAGCCAGCCAGAGCTTTGTTAAGACTCCATTAACTGTTTATAAATACCAAGATATTCTTAGAAAAAGGACCTTAATTACTCCCTAGCTTGAGACCTAACAGCAACCTCTGCCTTCCCTCTACTTTAAACAAGTCACTTAGCCATATAATTTTTAATTTTGTTAGGAAAACTCCAGAAGTTTGCATGCTAAAACTGTTTTTATCCCATCACTCAAGCCTGCTGGACTTTAATGGTGACAGTAACAAAAGCAAAGGACAAGCAAACAAAGAAAAGCCAGTAAAGACAAGTTCAGGAATATAAAAATAGAAGTTACTAGCTGATGTGTCTTCTTTCTCTGTCTGTGTACCCCAATCTTTAAATGCTCTTCCTTCTTCAAGTTCTTTAAAGGCTTTTATAATTGGTGCTTCTGACATCTCATTTTCTTTTTCTATTGTGTTTGTTGAAGAGTCTTCTTGTGAGGAGTCTTTTTCAGGAGGAGAATGGTGCCTAAGAGAATGTGGGGCAGTGGGGGGAAAAATGAGGATCAAGATTTTTTTGCCTTTACTTCATATATCCAAATACTAGCTGAATAAACAAACACCTGGAGAAATTTAGTTTGAGAGTTGAGTTTTGACAGCTGTCAAAACAAAAATCTTAAGGGTACTTTTTCAATGCCAGCCAAAAAACTCAAAGGCTTGTGTTTTAGCAAACTCAAGAACATAAAAGTTGAACAGTGCAAGTTAAATTTGGCAACTTGACACATTCTTAGAACTAAATACATCCTGACAGAAGCTTTAGAAACTTCTGAGAAAGGTGGCAAACTACTGAGAAATGACACCCTAAATTACACCTGAAGGTTCAGACTGGAGGAGAGCTGGAGCCAACTGCTACAGCTCACACCCCACACAGAAGAGACCATTGTGTCCAAACCCTGAGGATGAATGGACATCAAAAAACCAGTGGTGCAAGGTGCAGTGAAAGATTTCTGGTGTTGCAAGGAAGGTTCTCCCACTTCCTTCACACCAGGACAGTGAAGGAAGAAGGCTGTTTTGTTTTTAAGGAACTGTACAGCATCAATAATATAACACTGAGAACTTTTTCAGAGCTCTATTTAATAAAGACAACATCTAAAAATATGAAACCAGTGAATTCAGGATAAAACTAGTTTGAGGAGTGTTCAACTTTACGTCACAGTAGAGACTGAAGGAAATCAACTCACCTGGAAGGATTATAGGTTTCTTTTAATCTGTTGTCTTTGGGGCTTTCCTGGCCTTCCAAAGGCTGGCCAGTGAAGATGGAATATTCTGCTCCTGGTATCAACCACTTTCGCCTGCTGACATCAGGAGTTGCCACTTTGCTGTGGAAACAAAACACTTCAAGATTATGAAGAGTGTTGGAATTTTTTCCTTTTTTCTCTTGTTCAAGAAAAAAATTAATAAAATCCAGCTATTTATTCTAGATAAACAGAGGCAATAACAAATACACAATGAACTTGTAAATGCTGTGGGAAAATAACTGCTTTTTAAAATGAGTTTGGAAAGTACAAATAAAATATTTTTTTTAATTGGGTGTTGAGGTTTCAATCTAAATTACACAATATGGTCAGAATGCAAAACTCCACAAAGATCTTCTTGTAATTTAATGCTGCTAACTCAAGAGTGAGGTTTGGGTAACAAGCAGTTCTCAACTAATTAAACAAAAAACATTCTGGTGTTGATGACTGCAAGAGCTTAGAGCATCTGTCCCCAGCTTTCCTTTTGACACCATTTAGTAGAAAATAAAACACAAAAAATCCAAACAAGAAAAAAATCACCATTGGTGACCTGAGCGTGATAAATACTAATGAGTAAGTATCAGTGAGTAGATGTTTATCTTGAAATATCAGAAGAAAAATGTGATTTTTATACACAGGGAAGGAAATGATAATTAGGAAAAACATGTTCTTGTTAACACAGGCTATGAACCATAACTACTATTCTGTTAATCCACCCTGCTGTGCATTCCATTGCAATGAGGCTTTCTTTGAGCCTCTGAGATCAGTTAGGGACAGATTAACTCCCAAATCCATACTAGCTCTTACATCCTCCTCACTGATGAACATAAACCATGTCTTCTGTTCACTCTTGAGGGATCTTGTTCATAAATATTATAATAGCTGTAAACAAAAACCTGTCCCTCTAATGCATTAATACATACATTACTTGCCTCTTCATAAAAAAGCAGATCCCCCCCTAAAAAAAAAACTACTCTTCAATAAATAGAAATGGACATCCACAAAAAAAGCTACATTATAATTTTGTGCTCTAGGGCATCACTGCTGAATGGGGAGGGACACCCAATTAGCCATAATTAAATAAAAAACAAAGAAAAAAAGAGGGACAACGTTTTTCAGATCTTTAAAACAAAAAAAAAACCAAAACAAACCCAGTACATGAGCCAACTTTGATTTCCTTAACGTAAATTCAAAATCCAAGCTAGAGTATTCTAATGGAACTTACACTCTACTCTCAGGATACCTCTACAAACTAGATTTAGAAACATATAATGTAGTTATCAGCCTCCCAAATCAATGACACAAAGAAAAGCTCTGACATCTAATTGGACTATTGGGACTTCATTCCCAAGATCTTTGTTGAGCATGAGAGTCCCTATTCAGCTGAGCAACTGAGACCTAATAAACAATCATTTAGGAAGACTAGAGTCTTCCAAGTCACACATATTATCCAATTTATTTGTTTTTAATAATTTCTGGGTATGTGAAGTCTTTGGATTACATCACATTTCACCCAGTTTAGCCTACAGACTGACATGTTTATCAAGTTTTAGCCAAAACACATCAAAATGCATTCTAAAACACGTGACCCATGTTCACATTGCTGGAATATTCACTTACTTGGCACAAGAGGTTCTTAAATGACCTTCAGTAATAGGCCGAAGCTTCAGCATATTTTCATGTTCTACCTGCTTGAGTTGAGCTTCAAGTTTTGAAATTGTCCTAATGTGGAAGTAGGAAAGATGCATTATAAGATCACAGAATCATGGAATGGTGAAGGTTAGAAAGGACCTTAAAGATCATCAAGTTCCAACCCCCTTGTCATGAGCAGGAACACCTCCCACCAGACCAGGCTGC